GATTTTGCACGTGTGAGGGGCGTCGATTTTGCACGTGTGAGGGGCGTCGATTTTGCACGTGTGAGGGGCGTCGATTTTGCACGTGTGAGGGGCGTTGACTTTGAAAGAGTCAGGTGCATGACTCTACGAGTGGTGTGCGTCGATTTTGTACGTGTGAGTTGAGTTGACTTTGTACGAATGACTTTGTACGAATGACGTACGGAAGTGTTGATTCTGTGGCTCGGGTGAGTAGTTTGTCGTCATTCCCTCACTCAGAGTCAGGATTATCAGCTCACTTTCGTCGTCTCGCCGTTGGGTCCATAGTATAATTCTCTGGACGGTGACTTGAGCGTGTTGCTGACTAATGAATTTAATAAATAAATTAGTACGGGGTTTCTGTCGGTTAATACGGGTATTCGCCACTGAGTGCGGCACTTCGATAGGTCGAATCAGATCTTCGTCATCAACATTTTCATCATATCGGGGCAACGGTGAAGCTCGGTGTCATTGGTTGGAAATTCGAATTAGGTTCTCGTTCGGTCAGGGCTGCCTTGGCTTGGGTTGGAATTTGTGGGTTGAGGACGGATGTGTACGGATGTGTAATGTGTGGCGCTCAGGAGAGTGTGATGTACTAATGGTCAATCATTTTCAACTCGGACGTCAGGTGCAGGTTTGGATGCGTTGGCTTTGGGCTGGAATGTGTGTTTCGGACCAGGTGCGGATAGGCACGCATGACGCCTTTCCTGTTAAGGAAATAGTAATTTCCTAAATCATATCGCTTTCAATTCGGGCGTTAGGTAGGTGTGAATTAAACGGATACTTATGAAATTTACGGTCACTGGTCGATTGATGGACCGAGTTCGACTGATTGACTCGTTGATTGGTTGATTGATTGATTGATTGAATGATGGACGGAGTGAATCGATTGGTTGGTGGAGACTCGGAGAGCGGAGTTCAGCGATGATCTGAAAGGGTGGTTGAACTGACTGATGACTGTCACGAGCAATCCGACTGCTGATTGATGGATTGATGGATTGATTGATTGAGGGATTGAGGGATTGCGATTGGTTGGGGGGGTTGAAGGTTGATTGATTGAGTGATTGCGATTGGTTGGGGGGGGGGKGGAGGTGTTTTAAGGTCCAAAAGCTCGATTGCATTATACAACGGAGAGCGGAGTTTAACGATGATCTGAAAGGTTGGTTGTCGATTGACTGATGGCTGTCACCGGCGAGCCGACTGCTGATGGATGGATGGATGGATGGATTGTTTCGGTGATTGCGATTGGTTGGTGTCCAAAAGCTCGATTGGATTATACCAGCTGCTGATTGATTGATTGATTGATTTATTGGTCGATCGATTGATTGGTTGGTTTGTTGGGCGAACTACTATTAGATCGATTGGATACCTACCAACTGCTTAATTGATTGATTGGTCTGATTGGTTGGATGCCTGGTTGGTCGAAAGATTGAATCAATTGGTTGAGGGAGTGGAGGATATTAAGTTGGTCGTTAAGGTCGATTGAAGTTTATCGACTGGTGATTGATTGATTGATCGTTGGTGGGTTGGTTGGGCGAACTATTGAATCGAGTGGTTGAGGGAGAGGAGTTTTAAGGAGGTTCAAAATGTCGATTGCATCATATGGACTGGGGAGGTTTACTATAGTTACTTCGGTTGACGTGACTTTACTCTGGTTAACTTTGACGTTTGACTTAATGGTTGGGATTGACTTAATAGTGGATGGTGAGTCGCTGGTGACTATAATTGCTTTGGTCAATGATGATTCGATCTGGTTTATTTTAAAATGCATTTGTTTTGGGTCGACGTCAATTTTTTGGGTGGACGACGACAGAGTTTTCTGGACGGTTGACTTTTCGTGTTCCTGTTTTCTGACGCTGACTTACTGGTGGATGTTGACTTTACTCGCGTTGGTCAATTGACGTGGTTTGGTTGACCTTGACGGGTGTACTTATTTCGATCGGCGCCAATTGTTTTGGGTTGATGTGGCTTGACGATGGCAGTGTTTTTTTTTTTTTTTTTTTTGGATCAGATAATAAAGTGATGAGTTAGATTGCTACACTTGATCTCAGCCGAAAGGCCAAGAAAGGCAGTACTTGTTTTTTTCCCCCCTTTGCCCAGATCTGACAACCGTCTTCCCCCGAACACAACCCAGAGCCTGTGCAAAAGCAAGGCCTCGCTACACCACCCTCGAAATGTGGAAAAGACAAATGTTGCGGGTGCATCAGGCCATGTTCTAGCAGGAAGTTCATTTTCATTTTGCTTATTTCGAGAGTGATGTGGCGACGGCCATTATGATAGTGGCGTTCGTTGCAAAAATATACATGTTACTCAAAGAAATAAAAAATAAAAAAATATATATATATATATATTTTGGCTGTGACAGACCTTTTTTTGTCCTGGCTTGTGATGGGGTGTGAACCGAGTCTGTAGAGTTTTACATCTGGTGTGGGTGAGTGATAGTCTACTTTGATTTTGGTTAAGGTAGATTATCATTTACAGTGTAATCAGTGAGGGGATTCTGCAGACTGTTGAGGGTTCAACCTCCTGATGAGTCGCTGAAACTCCGACGAAACAGTTTGTCACAGCCCCTCGTTTGTTGTCCTCTTCTCTCTCTCTGCCCA